CCCACTTATCCACATTTTTTGACACTGATCCAATTTTTTTCTTCATGTGTACCCACTATACAGTTTTCATCCTCACACACCTAAAGATGTCTTCTCTTCTCTATGCCATATAACGTTAGAGATCATACACTATGCCTCTTCTTTTTTCACTGATCTCTTGATGACTTACCAAAGGGTCAGGTGGTTTTGCCTAGTCCCCACTGCAGGCTACTTCTTATCATAGCATACCATAAATATAAGTTAACACTTTTGACTGAAATGTACTAAATGCTTGATGTTGTTCCATCTCTATAATTCCTTGTAAAAAATGTTTGTGCCACCAAGATATTTTCACATATAATCTTCAATCCTAGATTTATAAGCTAAATTTCTGAACTACAAATATTTCTTTAAAAACATCCCTAATTCATCTGTAAAATATCCTTTGTATTTTTAAGGCTGAAAATATTTCCCTTTATTAGGCAAAAATATGTTTTCTAGATTTTCTTACGTGTACTATTTATTTATTAATTTTAATATGCTTAAGAGCTCCATATGTCTCTAATTAATTTTCTATTGTCAGGTCTCAATGTATATTTTGCTACATTAGAGATCATTATGAGTAGGGCAGATCCAATTGCATTTTCTATATTTTATAATTAAAATTTTTAAGCCAAAGCATTACCATTGAAAAATAGTCTAAGGTACTCTTTCTTTTAAAATTTCTCTTTTGTTTTCAAGTTATTTCTAGCACATCCAGATTTTTTCTTAAGAAGTTAAACTTAGTTTCTTTTTAGCTGAATTTCTTTTTTACTTAATTTCATGTGTATATTTCAATATTATTTTGAAATATAATTTGAACAATATAGTAGGATGTTGCATGTTGTAAACAAGTTTGGTGAATACACTTTTCTAAAAAAATTACCCATAAGCATTTCAAGTAGTACATGTTCCAAAAGAACTCCCGCAATATCCTACTCAATATACCACTTGATGAGTAAAGCTTTTCCAATAATTATTCATATCCCTTATCATAATTTAAATATATTTGCTTTTATGACTATGATATGTTTAATCTAACTGAAAGTCTTATTTAATTTAGAAAGCAGATTTTTTAATATAGCTTGCTAACTAGCCTTGTACTAAAAATATAAACATATTAACCACCATTTCTACATTTTTTGTCCATATAAAGCTTATGCGGTCATTATAATTTCTATCAAATATGTATAGGCATTTCTACTTTTTATAACCTAAGTGTTGAAAATAATATCACCACTATTTCAAATACCTTTATTTCAAAGACTACATGTAAAAACTTATTTTCTTCATATATCTCAATCGAGTTGAAATAAAGCTAAAGAGAAGATACAGCCACTTTATATCTGAAAGTCTTACCTTTTTTTCCAAAGTGGAGGACAAGAAGTGAAAGAGGAGCTAAGTGGGTGATGGACTGTCTGTTTTTGTGACTGTTTATATACTGTATTCAATGGCATGTTAATTTTGTGGTTTGAAAAAAATTCAATAGTATGTTTAAATTCCAAGAAGTCTACATGATTAGAAAAAGATTTCTGCTTAATATCTGTCCCCAGAAATGCTGGGGAGCATTTTAACAAGAAAGCAATTCAATTTTGATAAAGGAAATATGTCCAGGAAATACAATTGTTTAATTATTAAAGATAATCATCAGAGGACAGTGACCCTCTGGCTCAAAATCCAAAGTATGAGAATACAATTAGGTCTCTAGTATTTGGTGGATCTCAATATCTCAGTTGTGGGGGAATGCAATATGAGAACCACAGTAATTCAGGGGGCTTCACGAAGGCCACAATTTCATGCTAAACTGAGCAGTTGTTAA